CTAGGCTGCGTAGGTGTACGCAGATACAAGATACATGTACAAGTACAAGTAGCATCCAAGAGATGAAGCTGACGGATACTTGAGGGGTAATACAGAACACTGAAGCATTTTTTTCACGGTTCGCTTGAGACTCAGGTAGACTTATTGTTCAGAATCCGTACGAACGCCACCACCCTGCAAAGATCTAAGGCACAGGTGCAGCTCCTAAATCGGTGGGAGGTGAGTACAGCATCCCAGCAGCAAAGCGGTTAAAGATCGAAAGTCCCATTCACTGCATCCATGTTTCCGGGAAAAGGTACAACTGTGGGGAACCCTAACAAGAGTGAAGTGGGGTGCATTTTCTCATTTCGTTCTATGAGTACATGTACATGTACATGTATGTGACATACATTCCTCGTTGTTATTTTATCTCTTCTTCCTTGCGCTGCTTCTATCACCTCCCTACTGTACTTTATCCATTGTCCTTGTTCATTTGGTTTTGCATGTACAGGTAGAGGTATGTCACTTGCTGAGAAGGCATGGAAGTATACCAGTTAAACGAAAAACTTTCAAGGTTTCCTTCCCCTCTTGGACCTTTCCGAACCTGAGCCTTCCAAGTTGGAAGGTTGTTGGTTTGCGCCTTGGAGAAGTGTTGGAGCTAGGTGTCAGGTCGCCGAATGTCTCAGTACTCCTTTGTCAGTTTTGTGCCATTTTGTCGCACTCGCTGACTGTATAAGATCTGGTTACGTTGGTGGACAGTTAGTCATAACTCGTAACATTTTGTCCTCCTTTTTCACCATAATTTCAAGGTGGTCTTATAATTATAGCCTAAAGTGTGTCCATTTTCTGGGTATTATTTCCCTGAAATTTGGGGAATTCTTGATTAGGAGTTAGGAATAACTGCTCATGGTCATCGTGTCGTTTGTAACTGAAATAAATTTTGGGGTGATGTCCGGATTTGCGACAGCATTTCAAATCTACAGTATATTCCCACGATGTTGTTGTTGATGGTGGTGGTGGTGGTGGTGGTGGTGGTGGTGGTGGTGGTGGTTGTGGTGGTGGTGGTGGTGGTGGTGGTGGTGGTGGTGGTGGTGGTGGTGGTGGTGGTGGTGGTGGTGGTGGTGGTGGTGGTGGTGGTGGTGGTGGTGGTGGTGGTGGTGGTGGTGGTGGTGGTGGCGGTGGTGGTGGTGGTGGTGGTGGTGGTGGTGGTGGTGGTGGTGGTGGTGGTGGTGGTGGTGGTGGTGGTGGTGGTGGTGGTGGTGGTGGTGGTGGTGGTGGTGGTGGTGGTGGTGGTGGTGGTGGTGGTGGTGGTGGTGGTGGTGGTGGTGGTGGTGGTGGTGGTGGTGGTGGTGGTGGTGGTGGTGGTGGTGGTGGTGGTGGTGGTGAGGGTGGTGGTGGTGGTGGTGGTGGTGGTGGTGGTGGTGGTGGTGGTGGTGGTGGTGGTGGTGGTGGTGGTGGTGGTGGTGGTGGTGGTGGTGGTGGTGGTGGTGGTGGTGGTGGTGGTGGTGGTGGTGGTGGTGGTGGTGGTGGTGGTGGTGGTGGTGGTGGTGGTGGTGGTGGTGGGGGTGGTGGTGGTGGTGGTGGTGGTGGTGGTGGTGGTGGTGGTGGTGGTGGTGGTGGTGGTGGTGGTGGTGGTGGTGGTGGTGGTGGTGGTGGTGGTGGTGGTGGTGGTGGTGGTGGTGGTGGTGGTGGTGGTGGTGGTGGTTAATAAGCCTTTGGGTTATTTACCCTCGAAAACCTACAATGTACGTGAAACAAAAAGAAAACGAAACAAAACAAAACAACAATGTAGGTGATACTGGACCAGAGGATGATGAGTGCATGCTGAGTTGTGCGCTGCTGATAAAGGCATTTCCGACGTGTGGTGAATAGTGTTTTAAGTTATTGGGGGCTAATTCAATCCTCCCTGTATTTTTATTTAGTAATGCACACACATACACACACACACCTGACGGAGTGTCCTGTCCTAAACTTTCCAGTTACTTGTCCCCTCGTACCGATCGTGTGAGGGGCCGACAGACATGGAGGTTTGGGCTGCGGCGTTGTCTCGCATCAACGTCCTACTCCTTGCGAGATCTCCTAGACTTCCTTGAATCCACTTGCCTGTTATGCAGCTGGAACCCTCGGGTTGACTTGCAACATCGATCGCATGAGCTGAAGTGGGCTTTGCAGCAAGGTAGGAAGAGCTGCTGACCGGTGCCACACGATGGTCCAACGAAGGTGACTTGGCCGTGCACTGGAGTAAGTGCTTGCATATGGGGGGCACATCCAGGCATTTTTTGCATTTTTGGACTCCCAGTCCGCCATGACTGCGAAACCAGCGAAGACATACGGTGCATTGCTGCCAGCCTGGTCTGCTATAGGTTTGCGACGCTCTTGACTGCACTTGTGGCGTGGCAGGTTGCTCTTCGAAAAGGTTCTGATACAAATACTGCACTGAATTCGATCACTGGATGCCGGCTGTAGTCGTGGAGCAGCTACACACACACGCACGCATCCACTGACACCACCAACACTGTCAGACTCAGTGACGCTGACACTCCCAATAGTGATGAAAGCCCGCTTGAAATGTTTTCAACGATTCATTCCTGGCACCATAATTCATAATAATTATTATTAAGGTGCCAAGAATAAATCGTTGAAAACATTTCAAGCTTTCCTCACCATATTGCGAGTGTCAACGTCACTGAGTCTGCCAGTGTTGGTGGTGCCAGTGTGTGTGTTTGCGTGCGTGCGTGTGTGTGTGTGTGTGTGTGTGTGGATTGGGCAGTTATCTCGCCCTAGTCTTGATCTGTCTCATTCAGATCTTGTCCGCTTTCGTTGCTATATTAAGGAAAACTCTGTGGGTTAGCGTGCTTTTCTTGGGGCGGGCGTATACACGGTACCAGGTGTGTGTGTGTGTGTGTATGTGTGTGCGTGTATGTGTGTGTGTGTGTATGTGTGTGTGTACGTGTGTGTGATGTGTGTATTTGTATGTGTACAATTTATGCCACTTTTATAGTTCAATCCACAAAACGTGATGCAGACAATGAAAAACCATCTGAGGTAAATAGTCATTGTAAAAGATGTACAACTACAGCAGGAATATATTACAATTACCAGAAGGCCTCCACAGCACATGAAGGGCCTTATGGTGTGAATGCTGCTGTCTGATGATACATGTAGCTGAAATGCGTGAAACTTGAAGGGCCTTATATATTTCCACTCACGACTGGTGCAAACGGCATTGGTCCAGGATTGAAGTTGCTACACGCTTCCGGCAGTATGAAGCGCTGCACCCACGAAAGCAAGTAATCAGCCAGCGGAGTAAAATAAATGAGATGTGTGTGTGGGGGGGGGGGAGAGAGGGGGAGAGGGGGTACTACGTTACCACCAAAGCCGGCCTCCTGTGATCGAAATCAGCGCAGTATTCTTTTAGTATCACCTACACGAAGACTGTATTGAATATCGTAACGTACATGTACATTGTAAAATGCCATGTGACATAATGCAACGTTGTGTGTACAGCATGTGTAGTACTACTAGTCCTGCACGAGATGGACCCAGCAACTGGCTTTTTCCCTTGGCGCAAAGTTGTTGTTGAAAACAACGTGAGTACGTTCACATTCGTTGAAACCACCCATACTAACCCATACTATACTTCGACGTAATATAATTATTGATACATGTACAATGTTCATGGCAGAGACAGTGAACTTGAAGGTGTAGTATATCAAATGTACATTCTCAGCTGAGTTGTTCTCGTCCTAGAGAGTGCCCGGAAAAGGAGTTAAGAATGTCGGAGGATTGCTGCAATACAAGCTACTCTGCGTTGGAAAGATCAAACAGCTTTAGAACTTAATAATAGCCTGTCAAGGGTTCCCGTGTGTGTGTGGAGGGAGTGGATGCCCATACTAGCTAGTCCAATTTACATGTAGGAGAGATCTCCATTACTAGTATAGTAGTAGTAGAAGCATTTATTATTTTACTAGGGAGTTCCCAACAGGCGTTGCCTTTTTACTTGGGAACCCTAGGAGTGACTTGGTGCTTGTGACAAATGCAGAAATGGGCTTAGCTTGACGCCATCCAGGTGGGAGCATGTTCCATCTGTCTGCTGCCAGAAATGAACTAGCATTCAGGCCTTAACCACACATCGTCATGTACATGTAGCTTTGGGTAGGTTCAGAGAGGTTGAAGCTTGACCGCGTAGCATCTCCATGAACTCAAAATTAATGGTGTTTTCATTGCGTACATGTATATGTACATGTCCGTGTACGTGTATGTACAATGCCCGTGTTACCATGTACTTCGTGCTTGGAAAAGGACGTCGTTGCTATTGGTGATAATGAAGCCGCGAGATTGTGTCACAATACCATGGCTTCTCTATCTGATGGCGAAATTCGACGCCCGAAATTGAGTAGGACACTTTCAAAGACGTGAACTGTCCACTGTGGGGCATTTCCTGAACCCTTAAGTAGCCACACTCTTCATCAGTGTAGCACCACAAACCTCCATCACAATCACCATACTTATCCGCTCACCTAAATGGGGTGCTACTTCGTCAACCCCCGGTTAGTTGTGCCTGTGCCCGGTCCACACCAAGATTAGGTTCCCACGGAATGAATCAGAGTTTAATAGTTCATCATAGTGACTCATCAATGACATCGAAAACCGCCCCATATCGTTACCTGTCTATTTTCCATCACTCATTAGTATGAGCTGGGGTACTTCGGTCTGCAGTTCTAGTAGATTCCCAGACTAAACAGGCACTGACATGATGAAATTCCTCAGAGCAGCGTGACACATGTAACCTACGCGCATGACGTGGAGAAGCTTGGCATACATGTACACGTAGGTTGGGATGATGAACGAACTTAATTAAACAATTGAGTCTCATTCTAGTACATGGAGCAATATGGCAGTAATCCAGTAGCTAGCCATCGGGGCAAGGCATAGCAACTGTCATCAGTGGTAGCATGATCGGCTTAGTGGAGACAATAGGATCATGGCTAGGGTCCTCCAGGAACCTAACCACCTGATACATGGGGATACATGGGGATAAGAATTAAGTTGCCAATTGTTTTGACTGCTTGAGTAACTCCGAGGGGTGTTTCTGCAGGTCTCCGGGCATCGCCTATAAATAGTTTGTGCATTACATTACATATTCAGTCCAATTTTCCGTCAGGCAGACTTCCATCTGAAAATAACACAACAAATGATAGGCTCATCTGAAACATTGGAAGTATACAGAAGTCATCCTGTTAATCTAGCTAGTATGAGTTTAGTACCGAGATACAATGCAGTCAGTGAGAGATGCGAGAACCTCTCCGAATCTAGTTGGACGTCGTCCCCAGTGCGCATGGGATACTCTGCCCCCATGCTTGTTCCCCAGGTCCCCAGGCATATGTCACCACCGCCACCCCCTGTGGATATGGCTGTTTGCAATGATCTGTGGACAATGACATCAAGCGTTGTTCCAGGTTCCCTCAACGATGACGGCCTGTTACCAACCTTAAACAGCTGTTCCTCCCAACCGGACGATGAGGTTTCCGCAAATACCTGTTCCCTTCAGGATCTGACCACATCGCTCCCGGATCAGGGTCATCTGCGCAGTTCAATCTCCACCTCCCTACCACATATTCCAGTGTGGAACGATGCATGCTGGAACTCGAAAAGGACGTCTCCAACGCAGTATCCTCAAGCAAGTAAGCTCTCGACTCCATCCACCATGGGCAAAATGTCCCGATCGGCCATGTTAACTTCCTTACAGGACTTGCCATCCGATGGTGGGCGAATCTCCTTGCCATTTCAGCAGCCATCCTCGAAGAAGGGAACAAAGGACGCTTTGCCGAACCTACAAATCTCCAATGTCCTTTGTTCACCACAAACAACACCACCAGTCTCCTTTCCGGTGGACGCGGATACATTCGCCAGGTGGACATGTTTGGAAACCTCAGGCAGATGCCGAACACGGGAGCGAATCACAGTCTCAACAACTCGGCGGCCAGCTCCCAGCCCTCAGAGCCCGTCGAGGGGGGTTTGCAGAGTGCATGGATCTTCGTAAGTTAATCATAGGACAACAGTACCTCACTGAGTTCTCACCCGAGTTTTAGATTGAGAAAAGTTCAACTCCCTCAAACTCAGCTGGTGAGCCAAGGAAAACATTTGTAACGTGGAAATTGTTGGCACAAGTTATGCCCCTCTTTGGAATTAACACTAATATCCATGAACCTTCCAAGTTGGAAGGCCGTTGGTTAGCGCTATGGAGCAGTGCTCCAGCTGACTTTCATGCCGTGGAGTGTCTCAGTACTCCCTGTCAGGTTTGTGTTAGATTGTGCACGTCTGACTGTTCAAAATCTGGTTTAGTTGGTGGACTCGATCGCATAACTTGTGCCCACAATATCCATGTGACAATTTTTCCCTCAAACTCACCTTTGGCTCGAAGGTGCTTACTATCACCTAGATCACGGCAAGAGGCGATACGGAGACCAATGTACAGCTTTAGGAACTAGGTTAGGTGCATGTGTGCGCGCGTGTGTGTGTGTGTGTGTGTGTGTCAGAGAGGATCCTGCAAGTCTTTGGCGTCGAATTCCTCTTTCTGACTACTGCGCGGTTCTTAGGCCTAAGTTTCCCCAGACTAAACTCGGAAAGCGGTGATAATTAGCGCTCACCCCAGGATGCACAGTTTATTTTACCTTCGCAAGAATATCTATTCACAATCACCTTAACTAATAAATTGCCTTCTCATTGGGCAGTTCTGCCCGTTTAGTTTACGAATGAAAGTAATTCCTTACATTTACACTAACAAGGACTTGGGGAGTGTTTGTCGCTCCCTACCTGGGCGCTCGCGCTTTTCCTGCCAACTTTAATCTCACTTGACAAAAAGAACTAGGATGGCTCTTTGTGTTGTTTTTGTCTTAGTAGTTCGCATTACACTCAGATAGACTGAGCTTTCCGCATCGTAGGATCACCAACACCCTCATAGGATCAAGGCGCAAGACAATGTCCAATGTGTGACCTGTTTTTGCTTTCATGTCCTGGCCACCACAGGGACACCATCCGTACAGGCCCCTACTTCCAATGCCAAGCATGCACCAGAATCCTCTCAGCGTTCTTCTCCTGGAACATCTACCCAAACATCGTCGAGAAGTCTCACTTACTGGCGCAGGTGAGCCATTGCATTTTGTGTATTTTTGTTTCGTTACTTCTTCTCATTTCATGAGTATAATTCTGCCAAATGAAATTTACGGAAGACGATACACTTACGAGTATCCGCCATGTTTGCATTCTTCCCGATAAGTGTTATTCATTCAGTTTTTGATGGGCTGAATAGATAGACTTGCAACTCCAGCTGCAGATAACATCGGTAGACACTGCTCGTCGATAGCATAGGAATGGCGCTGCTGACGCTGTATTGATGCAGCATGATAGTCTTGACACTATGCTGCTCAAAGTGCTCATCGAAGACAAAACAATACAGTCAACTTCGCTAATAACGACTGCGGATATAACGACAATTCGCGAATAACGACCGAATTTCTATGCCCAGAGCAAAGTCCCATCTAACTGTATACATTTAACTTCGGATATAACGACTATCTGAATAACGACAATTCGCGTATAGCGACATGCTTTTAGTGCCCCGAGGTCATATTCACTGCTTGAATAACGACTTTCTGGGCTTTTGACAGCTATTTCAAGTACCTGTCAGTCAAGTACATGCACCTGTCATGCAGAAGTACCAGAACCTATGGTGATGGATATTATTATTATAAAGGCACACATGCAAGAAAATGCAGCCAAGGGGGGGGGGGTTCTTCCTTTTTTATGTTGGCTTCAAAATTGTTGGATTTACCAGCACACCTATGTATACAATGTACAGAGCTCACTGACTTGTCAGTTTGAGCACTCTGGCAAGGTACGTTCGGGCCTGATTGGAAAATTTTATTTCCATTGCTATCAGGTTCGGCCTCATTTCCTCTGTGCTGCGCTGACGAGTCCACAAAGGACGAAACTATTCTGTCCGCAGATTGAGTATTTCGCTCCTGGTCTTGTAGCAGTTGAGCACTCTTGCGTGGGGTAGTGCCTTTGCTGTTTGCTTTATGCACTGACTTGTCAGTTTGTGCACTCTGGCAAGGTACGTTCGGGCCTGATTGGAAATTTTTATTCCCATTGCTATCAGGTTCGGCCTCATCTCCTCTGCGCTGCGCTGACGAGTCCACAAAGGACGAAACAGTTCTGTCCGCAGATTGTGTATACAATGTACACGTAGTTGTACATGATTGTACAGTAATCATCCTACATGTACATGTCTCTGGCCCTGTAGATGGCTCAAAAAGGCATATTTTTCAATTGATTTCCCTTGCATATTGAATTTTTAGTTCCTTTCAACTGCAATATGAAAATAAAGTACACATTGACATAGAGCAAGAAAAGAGCTTGATTTTGATATGCATGTCATACCATACAAAATATGGGTTCACATACATTCAAATGGGACTTCGGTTATAAGGACACTTCGCGAATAAGGACACTTTTCTGATGCCCCGCCGAATGTCGTTATTGGCGAAGTTGACTGTAATACATGCCATGTATTCATACCGTGCTCTCCACTGGTGTCAAATGCCAACATGCAAATATCGTGATCGACCACTTTTTGAGGGCGCTTCACTGCCCCAATGGGGTCATTAATTAAACCACCATCGAGAACATAGTTTTATGCCATGTACATGTACATGTGTGCCTCATCTCTGGCAGATTGATATGGTGAAACTCACTTGTAGAGTACTACTTCAAAGTAGAGGTTTAGAAACTTGATGGCCATTTGCCATAGACGAGATACACAACCGTGTACATAGGCCAAACACACTTCAGTACAGCACGATCGTGAACGACTTTAGAGTGTGCATGTAAGAAGAGAGTAAGCAGCAGCACTCGGTACTTGAACATTCTGCGTCCACTTCACCACCACCACATTTTCGCTCTGCGGCCGACCACGTTCATTCCCCACAACAGCAACAAGAGGTTCGGAGTACGTGAAAATATTTTTAAATTCCTTTTGACAGCTGTTTCGGTCATTGGAGACCTCATCAGAGAAGGTAGAATGTTGAACGACTCGAAAAAGAAATAAATCACCTATTTTATACTGACTCTTGCAACAAGACGTAAATATTACTGAAGTATATACATGTACATGTACATGTGAAAGTGCGGAGGATTAGCAAGACGAAATTTGCGTTCGCGTTCGCACTCCAAGGAAAGTCGAACTCAGTGACGGAATTCGCGTTTAGGGATTAGCCAACAGAATTCGCACATGCATGACGTTGACACGACGTACATTGTGTACAGACAGTAGAGCGTGGTAAATTTATGACTGCCCTGACACGAATCCGCGATTCGTGTTCCGACTACTTTTCCGAACGAAAAATGCGAAAGTTCGCAATCCACTGAAAAATGTTTGCGAACGCGAACGCGAATTTCGTCTTGCTAATCCTCCGTAGTAACTCGAGAACTGTGCTCTGTAATCCACGTAAGGACCTGCTTTTATACGCGACATTGCGGTAACCCGGCCCAATTCCAGTGTCACAGTCCACGTGAGTGATGATTTGTATCCTGTCTATCAGAAATAGTGCAAATAGTGTATAGTGCGGTGTCTGCCTTCTATTGCACTGCAGACGCTCCAGTGAGCGGTTAGATGTGCATTTCGTAAATGTACATGGCCATGTCTGTCGATGATTGACCTTTTTCCTTGCATATGTTACTTTGATGGTCTGCACAGGTTGGCATGGACAAGGTTCAGCTTGAAAATTGGTTCACCAACCGCCGGCGGGAGCTGAAAAACAAACTTCAAGCGCAAGTGCCTGTGGTAGGCCATTCTGGTTGCTTCCGGACACATGAGAAAACGGGATGACAGTGAAGTGCGTGTGGCGTTACGCGTTTTAGTAAAACTGATTTTCGAAAAGGCACCGTTTCAGCGTCTGTAAACCAGTGTGACTAAGACCTTTGTTGGTGTACCTTGGATGCGTCTTCAGCCTTCAGTCATTTCGCCTCAAGAGCGAAACTTGGCCCACTCGGCCACTCACTGTGCTTTAGGATAATACAATCACGTCAGGATTCTTAGAGCACGTTGACAATCCGCTAAGCATCATCCGAAGCAAGGCATCGCGCCACGGGATCAGCAGCAAGCCAACATTGAGCAAAACTGAGCTGTTAATGGGTTGCTAGGAAGGGAAACAATATCGGTCATCTATCTCTGCCAACCCGTGCATCTACAAGCCATGACTACAGCTTCCCAGTGAGTTCAGGAAAGTCATATTCCTGCCACCAGCTATCACGGCCATGAACTCAAACAAGGAGTGCCATGCACTCTAGAGCATGGCTGCATGCACTCCAACACCAAGGAATAGATATGGGCTCATCACTTCAAAGTGCTATTGGCATTTTTAGTGTTATCCGTATCAGGGAGATGCATCCAAATGGCTTGGGTACGACTAACTAATGCAGTACCCGTACACGTACATGTACATGTACATTGTACCTGTATCTTCGTTAGTGCATCGTGGCAATACAGTCATCTCTAAAAGGTGCCCAATTGAAGATTATTGGTTTTGTAATTTGCGACAAGGTTTCAGTGGCGTGCTTTTTCTTTACGCATTGCATAACACAATACTGCAATCATGAATGCGTATCATATTGAATTATTGATGTTTCTTCTTATCTGTCTAAGTAGTATTTTAATTCATCAAAAACACTTTCCTCCATGCAATCGCAATCTTGGCAAGACTTTCAGTCCGCGTATAGGGAAGATGCAGCATTGTTTTCCTCAGCATTATAAATTTATAATGGATCGTCTTCATGGATTACCATGGATCTGAAAACATACTTCAAATCCACTCCCGACTACCGGCAATGCAGTACCTGGTTGGCAAGCAACTATTATTAATCTTGTTGCTCCTTTGCCTCTTCTTACGCAAGTACTAGGCATTGGCGGATAATGCTCGAAAAGGTGGCAGATTCTGCTCGAAAAGCAGTGAAATTGGCAGAACCATACAAACCTTATGGCGGGCAATTCCTCGAATTCTGCTCCATTTCTTTATCCACATACCAAACATTTTTTTGTTTTTGTTTTTTTGTTTATTTATTTAGAGTCGAAGAACAAAAAGGCAAATTTGCCTAATTACACGATATCGACTAACATATAAACATATAACATAAACAAGCATGAAACTTACCAGAAAAAGTACCTAATTCTGCCAATTTTCTGCCGGCATTATCCACATTATGCCTAGCAAGTACAGGATACCGGACTGCAATGACTTGTACAGGCTGTACAAGTCATGCTACATGTAGCACCGACCCGTAGGCGTAGGCGTAGGTCTCCGATGTAATGCCTACTAATGGTACACATTGTAGTTCGCACCAGTGTCATTCGTGCAAGTGTCTTGGGCTGCAAAAACCCGTTTTGCGCCGCGCACGTGCATGCAGCGCAGGACATTGAGATCGTCGAGTCTCGAGATCTCGGACCCACAAAAGATTAGTCTACCTGTGATTTTGAGATGCATATCCACTATAAATAGTATACTATAAATAGATCTACTGTATCTACCGCGCGCTAGCTAGCAGTCTACAACTCTGCAGTCTGCTAGTGCTGGTGATCAGGTGATACATTCTTATCTGCGCCTGAGCGTGAGAGGAAGGAGACTGTTCTGTAAATACCATTATAACAATTACTTACAATGGCGAACAGAGGAGGTTACATTCCCATCCAGAATGCTCCATCTGATCCAGCAGTCGCGAGCAATGAGCCGATCGAGTGGAAGGGTGGACTGCCCTTTCGGGGCTTTCAGCACTTACAAAGAATGTCAATCCTCGTGTTCGCCTTCTCCGTGGCCAATCTTGGCCTTCAGTCGTACATCCCCTTCGTCATGGATTCCTCGGGCGAATACAACTGGAGCAACGTAAAATCCAGCGCCGTGTGGGCTGCTGCAGTTGTGAGTAAAATAAATTGCACCACGTGTATCATGGTGTGCGTCTGTACCGTACTTTCTGGAACATTATTCTTACATGGGCCATGGGAAAGTGCATAAGCTAGCGAACTGGGGTATGGTATTTTATTTTACTTCACTAAATGAACAGGCACCGATGCCTCCTCATCCCACCATGGGTCCAGCTCCTCTGAGAGATGAAGACATTTTTTATGAATATGAAAAGCGAGACACAAACAGTGAAAGCGAACAAGCAAATGATATATATGAGTCGTACATGTGTATGAGTGTAGTGTGCATCCATTGACAAAAAATCATGTGGTCAACTTTTACAGTATCCTTGCTCCTTGAGTCCTACAAAAGCTCAAAACTTGGTCTAACCAAGTGTCGCACAAACCGTGATTTATTGAACAGCACACGCTGTGCGTATCTTGGGCTTCTTGCATCCGCGTCGGAGTGCAAGAGGCATATGCGGCTCCTTGATGCTGCCTTAGACACGACTGGGTCCACAGTGCCATAAAAAGTCTGTGCATAAGTACATGTACGTACTTTCAAATTTAGTGGTCACACCCGTACTAACGTTCAGGCAGGCACTGACGTCCGTGTAGTGGAGAAGTCAGTGTTCGTGTTGATGTACAGTAAAACCTGTCATGGCGACCACTCGGATAAGGCAATCACCTGCCCCAGAAGACCACTGTAACCAGGACTACGGGATGCTATTTCCAGTCAAACGACCCTGGATAAGGAGACCACCTGCTAACAGAGACCACATTTTGAAGGTCCCTTGAGCGGTCGTCTTAGACAGGTTTCACTGCTTTCAATACGACGACATGATCTAAAATGCGCTGGGCCCTGGGCTTGGGCAGCCAATCCCGAGGGATTTTTCATTGGTCACCAATTGTATCTCCCTTGTCTTATTATTTGACAGCTGTATTGGCTCAGGCCTGGAGCCAGCTTCTGATTGATTGATTGATTGATTGATTTTTATTTCACGGATCCTCCAGAGGCAAATAGATGCCTATCGAAGGGAGTCTCCTAAGGGGTGGTACGACACAAGGTCGATTACAGGGCCAATCATTTCGCCATGCTCAAAGTATTTCAGCACTTTGAGAGAATGCACCTCTAGCTCCAAACATCATGATTACAATTTTTTCTTTCAGCTACACTTTCCTAATGTGAAGAAAGAGTTGGTGCGACTTCGGCAACACTTTCCTCTTGCAAAAGATCTGCAGATAGCGTAGTTAGTCCTCAACGGACAAGAGCAACAGTTTGAGATGGATTGACTCTAGCAAGGAGTGTATGAGGATAGCATGTCAGTACTTCCATTATAATGAAATTCCCCGCCGAGCGTTCATGAACGCAGGTATTGGTGAAAATTGGTATGTCCATGGTCGTATACACCATACGTGTGCTACCAGACTTGATTGTGATGTGTATGCTTTGTGTTGTGCGCAGGCATTCTGTGTGGGCCTGTACATGGTCATTGTGTCGTCCGGAGCACTGCGTGGAATGAAGCATTCGAAAATACACGTACGTAGCAATTTCTGCTGGGCATGGAGCAAGTTATACACCTCCATACACTCAGCACACGATGCTGGAAGCCAAAAAACGATGATGGTCATAATTTAAAATTTTAGAGACAGGTCCCAGTGATTTCCAGGGTCATTGCCATGGGAATAAACCTATAAATTTACTCCTTCCCTGGATGACTATTGCTCCCTCTCACCACATTGGTCTCTATTTCCTGACAATTAGAAGATTAAATACTAGTAGTACATGAATATAATTGCATTTATGTGTCTGCTTCCTTCTCCATCCCCCTCTCTCTCTCTCCCTCCCTCCCTGTCTCTCTCTCTCTCTCTCTCTCTCTCTCCCTCTCTCTCTCTCTCTATCTCTCTCCCTCTCCCTCTCTCTCTCTCTCTCTCTCTCTCTCTCTCTCTCTCTCTCTCTCTCTCTCTCTCTCTCTCTCTCTCTCTCTCTCTCTCTCTCTCTCTCTCTCTCTCTCTCTCTCTCTATCTATCTATCTATCTCTCTCGATCTATCTATCTATGTACAGTACGGATCGGCTATAGCGTTGGTGTTTGATTTTCGTGAAAATATCACTATAGGCGATATGCATACTTAGGTATGCCTGACACATGTGTGTATGGTGTCATTCGAATCAGTGCAGCGTGCAGAAGCGTGCTGTGCATGTGACTGTGCAATACGCGCAGTGCAGAGCTACTTCCTGCGGAAACAAAAGCTTCGTGACTTTTTGACATGAGTTTTCAAGGAATATGTTCTTTTGGAAGAGAAACACTTCAACACATTCAATCGACATATCAACAATATCTACAGGATCGATTAGTGGGAGTAGAGTCTCAGTCTGGGTCACCATTGCTCGACTCATCACCGCTGAAACCGCTCCAAGTGGCAGATCGATCGACGCGTGATGTCGTATGTCACGGAGAAGCTTCTCCGCGTCCCTGATCGTCTTCGCTGTTACCTGAATGCCTTCTCCAACATCTCGGCGGAGACCACGGTAGCCTTTCAGCGCTGGTACTCATTACTGCCTCCGATCTCGCTCGAGCATGCCCCGAAACAACAAGCACAGCCAACGCCAGACATTTCGAATTTTCTCCGAGGGATATCATAGTCGTACCAACGCTTCCAGGCTGCCGCAATCAGATCTCGCCATGTACGATGTATACTTTTTTATAATAATCACTATAGCCGATGAAAAATGTATGCAATAAGATCATTTTGACACAGAAATCGTATCATTATAGCCGATATATTACTATAGCCGATTATTACTATAGCCGATCCGATATGTATAGAAAGGGGTGGTTTACGAAAATGAATTTGAGAATACGATCACTATAAGAGGTATTACTATAGCCGACAACCCTATAGCCGATCCGCACTGTATCTATCTATGTATCTCTGTATCTACGCAAGAGGTACACAAAAGGAAATATATAGGGCTGTTTTTGTTGTAACTCAGAGTTTCATGGCAACAACCAATCATCAGACAACATAAGGAGATTAGAAAAACGCAGGTATATGAAGGCAAGCAGAGGAGATAGAATAATTCAGTGCAGACAATATGATAATCATTCAACACCTCCCAGAGGCAGTACGCTCTGACGTGCCAGAATCAACATCTCAGGTGCTGGGTGAAACATGAACACGCACACTCATCCACACACACACACACACACTAATCCACACACAGCTTCTCGTTCTCACACACTCCACACTCCCGCATTATCACACCTAAACACACGCGCACGCACACACACACACGCACCAAACACACACACGCACCAAACACACACATGCACCATACACACACATACACACAGCCTCTCGTTCTCACACACTCCACACTCCCGCATTATCGCACCTAAACACACACACACGCACACACACACACACACACACACACACACACACACACCAAACACACACGCACCACACACGCATGCACCACATACACATACCTACACACAGCCTCTCGTTCTCACACTCTCCGCACTCCCGCATTATCGCACCTAAACACACACACGCGCGCGCGCGCCAAACACACACGCACCACACACACATACACAGACACACACACACATACACACATACACACACACGCCAAACCCATAGCACATCATACACGTTATGTCACTTCATAACCCAGCAAAAACTTGCGCTGGTGGCGGCACTTTGATACCAACTCGCTCTTTTTGTTAAGTGAGATGGCATTTGGAGTGGTGAGGATGTGAAACTTCTCCGTGAGGCACAGGCTGCATCGTTTGCTGATGTTGCTGTAGGATGGGGCGCGATCTTTTATTTTCCAGCTGATGTCAAAGTTGCGCTGGGCGTTCTGAAGGTCCCAAATGTGCTTTGAGAGCTCCGTCGATGTAGAGTATTTCTCATGCCGGAATGTTGTAGAGTGGTTGTTGTAGCGCGATTTAAAGGTGTTGGCCGTCAGTCCGGTGTATGTCTTGGTCTGGGGAGATGACACATGTGCCTGGTATATGACGTCAGTCGACTGGCATTCCCCCTTGCGCGGGCAGGATGGCTTGACCCGGCAGTTACAAGGCTCAACGGGCGGCCTTGGCTGGAGCTTCGCAGCGTTGTGACCTTTGATGATGGAGGCTACGTTTCTCATGCAGCTGTAGCTGATTTTTATCTTGTTTTTGTTGAAGATCTTATTCAGTGCCGAACCCTTTGGAAAATGCTTTTTGATGAGGCCCAGGAACCTTGCACCAACGTTGGTTCTGACCGTTGTGCTATAGGGCGGGTTAAACCAAATCACATCTCTGCTACGCGGCTTCCTTCTTTTCCTTTGTTCCGGTTCGTCACTGTATGCCATGGTTCTTGGATGTCCGCTTGCTGCCAGGGCGTCCTCATATACGGGCTTGGCATCATTAAAGACGTCTTCATTACAAGATATCCGCTGAAGACGCTTGTTAACGCCAATCGGGATCTGCTTCAATACTTGTGGCGGGTGGCAGGAGCTGACATCAACATATACTGGAGTACTATTTGGTTTTCTGTACGGCTGAAAGGTACCGGTGTTGAGGTTCATTGATATGTCGAGGTAATCGACGACCTTTCTGTTAGCGTCTATTGTAATCTTCAGGCCGTGTGTTTGGAACACCTGGATTATCTCCTTACGCAAGCGGTCAGCTCCATGGCTGGTGGCATCCTTGACTATGGCCAGACCATCGTCTCGGTACAACCCGACACATTCCTCGCCTAGAAGTGTGCGGAGCTTGCTGAGCATGAAGGCTCCTACAAGCTCACAGGCCTCAGCTCCATCGTATGAGCCCATAGTTACGTCGAAAGATCCATCCTTCTCCTTCTTTACCCACGCTTGTCCTTTGTGGAACAACAGCGATTTACGGCAGTGCAATATGATGTCTGTTTCTTTTTCGGATATTGTGGCAAACGTCTTCGCGTAGTCGAGAGCTTGCAGCAGGAGGTCTTCCGTAATAGACGGGTAGAAGTCCACAATGTCGAACACGATGAATGTGAATCTTGATTTGTTCTCGATCGCCTTGAACCAATTGATCACTTCTGAGGTGTTCTTCCACAAATTCTTGCAGACATCGTTGCGCATGGGGCCGATGATACCGTCGATTATGTCCTTGCTGACCACGCCCACCTCTGACTTCGCTGGGTTTATCAGCCTGCATGGCAGCCTCTCTGCAAAGCCATCTTTATGGTCCTTTAAAGTTACAAACGCTTGCGCCTTGGCGAGACACTCCATTCGGTCTTCCAGTTGGAGGTCGACGGCAATCGCTTTTGCTTCAGCGTTGATGTCCGCGTATGTATTGTCGGGAGCGAGCTTGTATTTTTTCGTTATGTTTTCGCGCATCAGCTTTTCATACTGGGGGACTGGCACACGGTACAAGTTTCGAGTCTTGTCTGCTGGTACAACTATCTCGGCGCCGTCCTTGATCAGCTTGATGTCCTTCCTCATTTTGTCCTGGAGCTGGTTCGAGGCACGTCGGAAAGAAATGGTTTCTACCATGTGGTACATGTCGTCCTCAAATGCTCTTAACTCTTCTATCTGGGGTGGGCAGTTCGTGCTCTTGAAGCCGTACGTCTTCTTGCTGGTCTCGTCGTTGGCTCCTTTCAGGGTGAAGAGAGCCTTCCACCGCATGCGTTTAATGACGTCCTCGACTCTGCTTAGTAGCTTCATTGTATACTCCTTGTTGGTAGGTACTGGTATATTCTTCAGGGAATATCCGAGCGATACTGGCCTTATAGTTTCCATTGCTTGCAGGATGAAAGTATCTCTGTATCTATGTATCTATCGCTATCTCTCTCCCTCCCTTCCTTTCCCTCCCTTCTCTGTCTGCAGGAACGCTATATTTCACTTCGTCCATGCACCGCTTTTGTGTTACTTGTCTGACTTGTTGCTCTCCTATAGTTGATCATCGGCGTCGTCACCTGCAGTTTGACTTGCTGCCTGTTGGTGACGGGATTGGTTTTTAGCTCCCTGACGTCCATGAACATTCTGACAGTGCAGACCGACGACATGAGGCGTTGCATCTACTACAACAGCACCAGTGCTAGAACTACCGCTGCGCCACCAGTACCTTTGCCCAATGGGTGTGAAGGTAATGATGCATGGGAGGGGTGCAGGTGTGAATGTAGAAAGCGTACAAGCATAATATAATGTTGCACTATCACTACCGTAATGTAGTGTGGGAGCAAACCCATTCCTAAAAAGTCATCGCCGAAGTCGCAACCACTATTTCGTACAACTGTAATGTTATCGTGATGGCTAGAACCTCGAGAACAACAGCCTCCACAGCAACTCCATAATACCTGCACCATCTTTAAACCCATTGACCATTTGCTTGCATACTTTCAATCTCGCGAATAACGACTCTTTTCCTGCATGACCAAGGGTCGTTAGTGACGAGAAGCAATAGCAGTGACAGCAGCACACCGCACAGCCGCTCACGGCCATCAGGAAGGCAAGCAGCAGAGACAATCCGCAAGGATGACTGCACAGTGAAACCTGTCTAAGACGACCGCTCAAGGGACCTTCAAAACGTGGTCTCTGTTACCAGGTGCTCTCCTTATCCAGGGTCATTTGACTGGAAATAGCATCCCGTTGGTCCTGGCTGTAATAGTCTTCTTGCGCAGGTGGTCGCCTTATCCGAGTGGTCACCTTGACAGGTCTGACTGTACTTTATTCTAGCCATGATGAAGCAGTTGCTCAGATGATTGGGTAGACGTGCCCTCTGGATATCGCTCTGTGCAGCGTGGATCATCCATCATGGCAATAAGCAACGACAACACCACATCTAGGTGTGGGTCCATTGTCCGCCCTACCCTTCCTGTGATGTCTTTGTGAAGTGTTTTATCCAGTAAATTACAATAGCGAGAGTTCCCAGATTGCCTAGAGTGCTCAACACCACAAGGATGGAGCATCACCACAAAGGCAGAAGAGAAAAAGAGACAGGCGGCTAGGTCATTGTTGTAACACTGCGTTTCATGCACATAGCAAAGCTAAGGTAATCCTCAGACAACTGAGGATTTCCTGAGGATTGCCTTAGCTTTGCTATGCGCATGAAACGCAGCGTTACAACAATGACCTAGCCGGCTGTCTCTGTTCTCTTCTGCCTTTGTAACCAGTAAATTATGTTCTGGCAAATGAAAACACAATGTGGATGTTAGCATTTGGAAATGTAGAATGCCAACAACCTCATAGTGTGGGCTAATGAATGTATTGCTTGACAGGGAACCTTATCTTGAATTTTCCTTTTGCTATCATGCGTGAGAGTGTCCTCTGGGATGACATTTTGACGGGAAAGGACAATTATAATTGCGCACATGGGTGTTAAAATGATTGTCCTGATGTTCTGCTTTGCACTCCGTGTAGAGTGTGATCCCAGTGTTTCATGGGCCGATGGAGTGGGGCCCAACTCGTGCTGCTGCTGCTACGAGAACTGGTACGGCGATTACGATTCGATGACGTTCTACGGCGTCGGGAGCTGTCAAGATGTGTTCAGTGAGTATGGAAGAGTGTGTGCATGCCCATATGTATCGTACTACACTCTACAGTCCCTTTAGGGTTTTCATATTTTTCAATGTCTTCTTCCCAATTTTAATGTCACAATTCTTTTTTACGTGCAGATTGGCTTGGTTGCTGAGCCCATGGAGATGATTTTCTGTATGTGCAAGTTGTTAAAATGTTAGCATTTCAGCCAAGTCGATACACTTGGCCGGATTTAGCATGGAACCATGCAGACATGCGAATCCAAAGCCCAATTCTGGCAAAATTGCTAACTGATATTGGACAAATTTCTATTTAGGAAAGTCCACACCACTACTTTTAAGTGAACTAAAGGAAGATACGTGGGCAATAGTATCAAACTCTCTTTGTTTTCGGCTCTTATGGTGCGGTTGCATTGGTGTATGTGATCAATATGGAATTTCAAGTTCCTAGCGCTCGATTTTGCAGCTGGTGGTATTGTGTATTTCCACATATTGCACCATTGTCTAACTGGCATGTTACTGTCTTTCCTTGTAGCTTACGTCTACCCAATGTCGACAGCGTCTGCTATCCTTTACGGATTGTCTCTTCTGCTTGCCTTCCTGATGGCCGTGAGCGGCTGTGTGGTGTGCTGCTGCCGCTGCTATTGCTGCTCGTCGCTGTGTGGCCCGTTCCCAGAGGACGGTGGTCTCGGTTCCACTCGCCGGCGCACCGGAGCAGCACGGGTTAGTAACGATACATAATAATACTAGTATGTTATCCGTAGTCACTGATAGTACAGCTGTTCCGGGCAGGCAACTGCGAACTTGCCCTCAAGATATCTGACCCACCTCGCTGCAGAGTTTGCTCGTGAGCCTTGGATGCATGAAAATTCCGCCGCTGTGCAAGATTTCATGTACTAACTTCACTAGCCAAGACTGTCGCAGTGTACGGTTTGACTTGGTTGAGCTAACCAACAGCTCCCTTCTTCGACATTAGATTTCCGCAGCATTTCGTCATGTTTTACTTAGAGAACGACAAAGATGAACGTCTGAAATGCAGCAGACACGCTTGGCGCCAGAGATTGTTTTTGCTATTGTCAAATGACTTATATAAATTAAAATTTTAAAGGTACTGACATATTGGTGATGAGAGATTGTCGTCCTGCTGTGCGGAGGTACCTCAGCATAGGCATGTAGTGCCATCTTAGCGATGCATCCTGAAGATTGTTGATGACTTTGGTGCGCCGCAATGTGTCTGCACGCTTCTGGAGCATCTCTCTAAGGCTGAATGTATCTGGGACAGTAACTTGGACAGTCACGCGTATAAATAGTATATCACATACTTGAAAGAAGGAATCAAAGCGTTTCTACTGTAACTCTGAGTTTCACAGTTTTTACCGATCATCAGACAGCAACTTGCCTACAATTTCCCAAAGATTGAAGATTGCAAATTGGAAATAGATGGTAAAGTAACACAGAAGAAATCACATGGAAACGAGTTATGAAGCAACTATCCACGACTGTAACAAGATAATAATCGGTCAGAAAGTGCAATAATAGTGCACAAAACTGACACGATACTGAGACATTCAAAGACCCGAGATCTAGCTCTCACACACCTCCGGTGCGCAATCCAACAGCCTTCCAGCTTGTTGGCTCAGTATCCGTGTGAAGATTGTAAACTGTTTGTATATCATGTGCTCTCGCAGATCATCAATAACCCAACTGCTTATCCAGCACCAGTTGCCGCCTACCCAGTAGCGGCGGCCTCTCTACCACCGGCACCCGTGGCTCAACACCAACCAACCATGTATCCGTCATACCAGTCTGCACCTGCGCAGCCACAACCCGCTACGAATCCTTCGTATCAGACAGCGGGAGCACAGCAGTTTGCAGGCTATGGAAGTATGGCATCCGCACCACCATCAGACGAAAGTCGGCAGCAAGCCAGCACAGGTAAGCAGAAATTATTAGTCGCTATTAAAACATTCTTATCAACCACCACACCACACCGGAATGGCTATCAAAACAGATCATTATTTTGCCATAGCGCAACTAAAAAGCCGGCTAGAATTCAAAACCATCCCTACTTGTAAAGTAGGTCGACTTTAACCGGGATGCGCGTCTACAAAGACAGCACTCATCAGGAAATGATAAAGCCCCGGGTTGCCTACGCAACTACTTCGGAAGTATGAGGCCCGGCAGCCACGGAAGCAGGTGACGAACCACCTGACCAGAACGAAAATGATAAAATGATTCATGACCAATGAATACTGCAAGCCAGAATGATGCATGTGGTGTGATGCGTGTTTGTGCGTGCATGTGTGTGTGTGTGTGTTTAACCAGCAGCAAATCGGAATCATCATTTGACTTGGTCCAATGCTGAGTAAAATTTATAATTGTGGAGCAAACTGTGTGCATGCTCATAGACAACATCTGTGTTGCCACACCTGCCGACATGTCAGTAGCCTGCCGATTTTTGAGGCCTGTAATGACCTGCCGACAATTGACCTTTTCCTGCCGACAACAGCCATGAAAGTATCCAAGTTTGCCCTTGTGCTTCGTTTAGAAGTCATGGTCCAGATTTTTGGCCATTACTGCTCATCACGAGTGTTCCCATAGCTCTCTCCTAAGGCACTAATGGAATCATCAGCTGTCTGGGGAAAATCGGCAAACTCAGCCCGAGTCTCACGCAAAGCCGTGAAAGGTTTCTTAACTGTTCCGCGCGCGCGCGCGCGCATGTGTGTACATTGGGGTTACTGTGAATGGGGGGGGGGGGGGAGAGGGGGTCCGGGGGCAAAGCCCCCGGATGATGCATTTTTTTCATCCTACTGATATTTGGCTATAATGATGTGGCAACACTGCAACATGCTCTGATCCATACAGTGAAGCGATCACTTTCATGCTTCCCAGCAACCATGTTGCTGGTGTCTGAATTTCGGCACGGTGATGACAATGAACTTGTCCTCATCGTAAGATGTGTGTTTGTGTGTGTGCGTGTGTGTGTGTGTGTGTGTGTGTGTCCCATATGGTGCAGTGGTATGTGCAGTCGATTTTCAATCGAGAGGCTGCAGGTTCAATTCCCGACGATTATGGTCGCACACGTCTTTCTTCTCTTTCTCATTCTCCTAGCTCTTCTTTCATTCTCCAGGGGTGGTTACCAACAGCCAGTGTATGCCGGAGTATGCGGTGTGGCGTGTGTGTAAAAAAAGAGAAACGTAAGAAAAAAGGAATAAAAAAATGGAAAAATGGAAAAATGAAGAATGAAAAAATAGGGATTCTCTGGCCAGAAAAAGCCATTTCAATCGGCTGTGTGGTGCATACCAGTCTAAAATTAGTGGCGGTCAATTCATCAGCCTTGCAAGCTGTTGAATGGTGTGATCCCAGCACAAGTTGCTATGTCTAACATAGCTGTTCCCTATCATCGCTTCCGCGATGGGCAGGTCTGAGGTCTGAGGTGTGCGTGTGTCTGTGTCTGTCTGTGTGTATGTGTCCAATTATGGTGCCAGATCTCGGCGCTGGAGGCCCGCCAGCGTACACTGAAGCTTACCCTCCGGAGAAGGTATGAGCATCATCCGAATTTCCCAGTTGTAATTCAAAATATCCCATTTATATCGAGATCACTATGAAACTCTATCAAATTTATCACGCGAATTATACAATGGCGTCACCCTTACCAGCTGCACTGCCGCGTTACAACAAAAATGTTGCCTTTATGAGGTGAAAGTTATTCATTCTCAGACCAATTTAATTCTTCAATTTCCTTTCTCTTTCTCCACCTACTGTACATATGTTTCATCAATCTTTGCTGCTGGCCAGTACGTCTTTTTCCCTCACATTGTTTGTAGTGTATGCTGTTTCCTGCTCTCCTAGTGCTGTGAGTATTAATTCTACGTATTGAACTAATGAAATCTGGGTTTTTTAAGTCACACATTTTTCATCAATCCTTATCAGAAAATAGCACATTTCGAAATTTTCTAGAATATTAGTTTTGCTATATCGTGCGATTTTGGCAATCAATTCTGATGTGATTGTCTTCATGTACATGTACGTATATCTGAGTCATACTTGGACTTTGGTGCAATTCACGTCACATGCTCATCCTGAGAATTGCCGGAGGTGTGCGACATTCTCGAATCTGTTCATCGAAAATTTATATGGTCAACACTCAATTTTTCGATTGTGGACCATAGCCAGTGGCAGTGCTGATGTGCGAGCCTCACTTTACTGTTTTTTTCTTCATAAACCATTAAATTAAAAAATTGGTTGTGAGCAAGTAGTAGTAGTAGTATTCTTTTATTTATAGGTGAGAAACCAAAACACGCAGATGCCTAATAACAATGGACCCACTGTGTAGGGTGGTGGATGAGGGGGGGGGGGGGGGGGGGGACATGGCTAACGGTTAATAGTGGCGGCGAAATAGAGCAGTTCCAGCACAGCTACAGAAACATGGACGTAAAGCTAAAAGCAAGCAAGAATGTGTTGCAAAGCGCTTGACTTGAAGACGAAATAGAGCAGTTCCAGCACAGCTACAGAAACATGGGCGTAAAGCTAAAAGCAGGCAAGAATGTGTTGCAAAGCGCTTGACTTGAAGGCGGCTAGTTTGGTGACGCCTCGGATATACCAATTTGGTAGAATGTGCAGAAGCAGCAGCAGGGACGATAAGCAGGTTACTGTTGCCTCCTCGAGTTCTTCGTGACGAAAGAGGTCGAAAAATAAGTTTCAAACAATCTACTTCCTGAAGAATTTAGACAACGCCAGCAGCGTAACAGTGGGGCACTTTACATACGGCACTGCACGCAGTGCACGCTTGAAGAGCCTTTCCAGACGGAGCTGCTGCTGCTGAGTCCTGGTGAACAGGTACATAGATATGGGGCATAAGCATTGGATGCATACAGAAACTCAGGCAGCACAAAGCATTTGAAGTAGCAGATACGACATGCATGAGAGGGGTAAAGATGCAGCATGGCGGACAAAGACAAAGCCAGAGACCGGTCGACCCTGATAGCAACACGTTGAGTGTTTTGCATTCCGAATTTCGGAATTATTTTCGGAATGTGGCGGCAGCAGTCGAAAAAGCAGTCGAACTTTCGGAAGTGTGGTGGCGAAAGTGCATGGTTTTCCGAAAATGGATTTTCGGCTCTTTCATGTTTGGGAGTGCATATTTGAATACAAAAAAAGTGTATTTTTCATGTTTGTATTTTTGCTTTCTGCTGCTCTCGATTATTTGAAAAAAATTTCACGTATTTAGTTTTGATTTTTGCTGGTTTTGCTGCTCTCGCTGATCTCGCCATTTTGACTAATCTTCTCACACTTCATCACACTCTATCTTCCTTTGCCCTGGAGCCTACTAACAGTACAAGACAGTAGTTCGCCAACTTCGTCTTCAGCTGTTGGATCATTTGGTCCACCGTCAGTCCGTCCTCGTCTTCGAACCGCACCCAAATTCAGTTTGACCTGCGCACATGGATTTGATCCTGCTCAACCCCTTCGACGCTCTCCATTTTGTTTTGCATGGCAACCCTGGGAAACGAAGTCGAATCAGATTTTCGGAATGCAAAACACTGAAAATACCGTTTTTCGGAACGCGCTTTTTTCGGAAAAGCACAGTCGAAAATCATTCCGAAATTCGGAATGCAAAACCTCTCTAATGTCTCGTGTTTGCATTATGCGACTGTTGCATCAGAGCACATGTATAATGAAAACAATGGTATTACAAAATCTCTCCCGATCAAAGCATCCGTCGGTCCGGAGATATACTTCGAAGTGCATTATACTACGTGTATGAACTTTCACCGCACACAGCCGCACCAGGTTCTTGGCTATGCAAAAAGAAAGAAAAACACGTCTCCAAATACATCAAAATGCTTTCCAAATTTACACCCAAGACTGTTTTGATGTGCGCGGTGAAAGTTCATGACATGAAGAGGCTACAGAGGAATTGTGCCATTCTCATTATATACGTGTAGCTTCATTTTCATCAGCTGAAATGATTATACTTGAAACCCTACACGCACCATCCTCAAATCAAGTGGTCTCTTAGCTGCAACTTGATCACAATATCTCCGAAGCAATCGATTGAGATTATTGTAATTTGCAGCGAAGAGACCACTTGATTTGGGGATGGTGCGTGTACAAAATGGTGTAGGGTTTTTCATGTGATGAAGTGGCTGTCGTGGAGCTTGCACACATTATCATAATGATTATGTGCATACTAATACGTGTACGTGTACTAAGGTTGACTGTGGAGTCTGGAGATGCATTGCTAAGTAAAGTAGTTGTAAGGTTGGAAAAAAGCATAGAAGTCGATGTGCATCACTGAGAAAGTGATTACTCACGCCATGGTGGGACTAGACTCTGCATGCATGTAGATCTACATACAGGTTCGTAGGCACACATTGTACAATCATGTATTATTACAATACAGACAGTAGTACGGTAGCTCAAAGTCAAACTGTTATCATGGTTATGTTCGAGTCAGGCTGAAATGCGACCATGGCATGGTGAACGCGATAACTAACGTCACTCGTTGACGTCACGTCAGTCAGAACTGCCAGAAGAACTGAGAAGATGTATGTATTACTGCACAAGGACCAGTGCAATACCGGCCGATATCTGCACGAACGGCGAAGCCGTAAGTGCAGATATCGACGCCGGTATTGCACGCGTCCGAGTGCAGTAATACTAATACATTTATCGCACCCCTGCCACCACACAGTCTGTCACCACACACTTGACACAGTCTGGTGCATGCAACCCTAGCATGCTGCATGCAACCCTGCTATCATTTCACAGTCATACAACACAGCACAACCAGTCGCGTTCATTTTTAGAGGAACACTTCTTTCGAGTAGCTGCTGTCTATCACGGGAGATCCTGGAAGTAGCGGGACAGCTTGCTCATGTCGTCGTCGTTGATGGGGTGTTTGTGCTCCACCGCTTTGACTTCTTTCTTTGGCTTCATGAGGAAGGCCATCAATGCAATGTTTGCGTCCTTGAACGCTGGGTCACTGTGGACGTTCATGAGCCGCTTCAACTCGACTAGCTTGCGATGTATTGCGGAACGGAAACCGAGCAAGCTTGATGCAGAGTAGAACTTCACTCCAGCTTTTTTCGGACGCAATTCGACGTATGCATGTCGCAGAATGTAAGCTAGGTCGCTTGCCGTAACCGTACTCAGGTCACAGCGACGTCCTGTGTCTTTACTACTCGTCGAATAAGCGGAGCCATTTGTCAGTTGCCTGCTCTGTGTTTTTGTTTTTCTGCTCAGAAACGAGGCAGTTCGATGGCGGCGTCGGACAGTTTCTCAAATCGGCTGTCGACAGTCTTCTCCAATACTTGGGCGTCCGCTGTCTCGACTCTCACGGAGCTTGTGAAGTAGTTGACTTGGCGGACGCAAGCCGGGTCCACATTCGCTTCCGCGACATCGACAGCGTCCTCGACCAATTATTTTGGTGTGCTGCAGCAAGTCAGCAGCGACTCCCTGGCCTGGCGGAGCGACTCGCAATATTCCCAGTACTCGGACACCGCCAGCCAATGACTATGTGGATGCACTGCAGTGCGATATTGCACCCCGGCGAGTGAGCGTGCAAATAACCTATATCTGCACGCTCACTTCGAAGCGAGCGTGCAAATAACCTATATTTGCACGCTCGCTTCGAAGTGAGCGTGCAAATATAGGTTATTTGCACGCTCACTCGCCGGGGTGCAATATCGCACTGCAGTGCATCCACATTGGCTGGCGGTGTACTGGGGAATATTGCACGCTCAGTAAGGCCGCTGATTGGCTCAAACCATGGAAACACTCACGTGGGGTGCGATAAAGGATCATACTTCTACAATGATTGTACATTCTTATGTATGTAGTCTAGTTCAGTGCAGAACCATATCCGTTTTCCGCGCTAACCAGACTAGCAGAGCGCACGTGCGACCGATGTATCAACGCCTTCAGCTTCGCTTGCCTTGAAGCTTGCACTTGAGGTTCTTGGGAAGAATAATTATTGTGCAGTTTACCGGTGAGATAGGAAGAAGTGGTTGAGCAGGGAGGCTCCTGGAACGTGTCGTAGGTTCTACGCGCCGGGGTTGCAGTGCAGACTGCAGTAGAACGCAGCCATGCCGATGTTCACACTGCCTGCGTGTGGGCAGGTGCGAAGTGCAGGAAATGTGGAGGTGAGTGTAATTGGTAATGGCCGTTTTACTACGGAGTGCGGTCCTACGGAGCGTGCAAGTGTGGTTGCCAGAGGAAATGAATATTATTAAATTTTAGGACAGATTGCCGCGAAACCCGACAGCGGGGAGCAGAATTATTACGTTGTAGGCTCCTAGAAGGTGAGTTCCTTCCTCAAGAATTGAACTCCTTGCGACCCAGCTCTCAGCGTCTTGCACTTGCAGGCAATGTTTCCTGCAAGTGTTCGTGGCGCAGTGGAACTGGGCAACCAGCTGCTTCAATCTGTTTTTTTTTTCAGCGCAGAGACCAGCATCCTTGCGATTTCGTGCTTTTGAAATACGGCAACTCCGCGTGTGTACTTCGCTCCAAATCGTGGAAAATGAGGAACCATTCATTGATAGAAAGGTTGTTACCTCGTCCGAGTATCCCTTTCGTGCTCGGGCAATACCTGCGGCCGGTCACATCAGCTGTGCACGGTCCCTTTCTCTGGAAACGTCGTCACGGAGGCTCTTCATTCTCTTCTCATTACTAGTGTTGTGGCCCTACGTGTCGAGCGACTTTGAAAAGTCCGAGCACTGGAAATGATATCCCCAGGTGCTCCGTGCTGAGCGCCGCCACAGTATTGATCAACCACGAAGCGGAATGGAGTGCGGTGCGCTCTGCCAGTACGCGTCGTTGCCGGAGTACGAGGTCTGCACTAAGAATAAGATGTACATGACTAAGTATGCCGTAGAATCGGGGTTGTTATTTGCCAGTTGTATTTCCTTTCACAATAATCGTGGTAGCAGTACAGGCGCTTGTAACACAACGTAGGTAGTGGGAGTAGTTTTGTTGACTCATTCAACAGCTCCATTAGTACACAATCCTGCATGTACAGTCATGTACATGTACAATGTCCACAGTAGTAGTACAGTACAGGTGTCAGCCAAACCAGGTAGAACATTTGTAATTAAATTTGTTAGACACCTGGGGGGGGGGGGCACCTAAGAACAGTGAGCCGAAATGTGTTCGGATAAGTGGTGGTGGTGGTGGTGGTGGTGGTGGGAAAGGGATGAGTAGTAGGATTGTGTATGTTGATGCCACCACTTATCCGAACACATTTCGGCTCACTGTTCTTAGGTGCCCCCCCCCCCCCCCCCAGGTGTCTAACAAATTACAATGTTCTACCTGGTTTGGCTATTTCCTTATTGACCACCGCCGCACTTGCACACGCAAGGATCGGTATTGAACATTAGATATGGTTAGCATTTTACCGTTCACGCTATATCCAACGGTACTCGTACCCAACACCCAAAATATCCGTCGGTTTGGTATCGTTTCGACGATACAAAGCTCTGTTTAGCGGGAGAACGAAAAGGTAAGATTGCGACTAGGGTTACGTCACAAGTCGATCGTTGTGTGAACGGTAAAATGTTAATCATGTCTTATTTCCTACATGTGTTTTTTCCCGGTGCAGAGTCGTGATTATGAGGAGATCAACAGCAAGCTAGCGAGACAAGAAGCTCTAGAATACGATAAATGGGTATGTCGCATTCTGTTTGCTATGGGTTTGTGTTTATTGTCTTGGACTTGTTGCCGGCCTATTGAAATCCATGTATATTATAGTCACAACTGTAAGCCTGTAGATGTAGTTGGCTGGTCAATGATTTAGAAAAAGATGAAACCATTAGCATGCAATGTTCACCCTGTCAATACGCATAATATTATCTACTCATCCCAAATCCCTGTTTTACGTCAAGCCTAGCGCACAAATGAGATTGAGGAGCAGGAGAGAGAGAGAGTGGGGGGGGGGGGGGGGGGAGGGGGATGATGATGATAGCGCGAGGCCTATAGTGCATGACATACTAATTATACCGTGAGATCAATCACGTAATTTCCTCGTATGCCCTTGCCCGTTTAGCAAACTCGCTTGAAGTCGTTTTACCGCTGGGTGATGTGCTTCATGATCGGTGCCGTGACGGCGATGGTCTACATGGGAGTGAACACAGCGGTGAGTCAGCATGTGTGCTCTGAAGTACATGTACACCTGTGTGATCGAATTGTGGGTGAGCAACTTCCCCCAAGGTTGCACAAGTTTATCTGAGTTGTGGATCAAATTTCACTGATGTTTATGATGCAATCAAGTGATTCCAAATTCATGCTCGGTCTATCTCTCTCTTGCAACCACCACCAACAACAGTAGCAGCAGCAGCAGCAGCAGCAACAACAACAACAACACCAACAACAACAACAACAACAACAACAACAACAACAACAACAACAGATCTCTTATTGGCCACTGGCTATCGTGAGAATAAAGATTTGAAACAGCAGCAGCAACAGCAACAACAACAACAACAACAACAACAACAACTTATGTTGTAGCAACAGCAGCAGGAACAGCAACAACAAGAACAACCACATATGTTGTATCGGCTACAGACCAACGTGAGAATACAGATATGAAACACCGAAACTGTTTTTGGCCACAGGTCAACGAGAGAATATACAGTCATACCTCGCTTATCCGGTCCTCTTTTATCCGGATCCCTCGCCATCCGGAAGAAAATCGCTGGTTACCGATTTACAACATATGCCATGCATACATACAGTATGTTTGTTCGATTATCCGGTTCCCTCGCCTATCCGGATATTTTTGTGGAAAACGGATGTGTGCGGTTATGCGAGGTTTGACTGTAGCTTTAAAACAACTAGATAATGCTTCCTGATCATGTTACTTTGGCCATGTTGGTGGTTCTTTAAAAGTAACTCAACTTTGATGTGCATCTTTATGATTATGCTGCAGACGGAACATCTTGGAGACGCAAAGTTCGATCTTTTGGAGCAGTGTATCCTCCCATTAGCTATATAAACCAGCCTCTTAAGATTACCGTCAGTCGCTGTTTATTGAGTGAGACATATCGGCAACTCATGGAACCCACTAAACACAAACTTGCACACAGACCAAATTTAGGATGACGCAGATGATTATTCACACAAGAATACGTGTCTTATCCTGGACGCGTTTCTGACCTACATTCTGATAACAAAAGGAGATTTCTTGGTCACCAACCACAGGTATCAGTGTTCCTTGCTCCAATTTCTCGAGGTCATGTTTTTTTGATAGAGTGTTCCTTGACTCCAGCTTTCCGGCTTCAGATGTTGATGATGGAAAACTGGCCGCAGCTTTTGTAAGTTTCCATAGACATGCAATTCCTGATCGCACTTCGACAGTTTGGGATACTTGTATGTTTACTGAAAAGCTAACTGATTTTCACATGCGTGTAGCTTTTCTCTGTAGGCTGCATCTCGTGCTGCGTCCAATGTCATTTGTTTGTGCCGTTCTTCTTCTCTGCTCAGTTTTTCAATTTGGCTGTAGCTCTCGCACTCATCCTGTTCGGTGTGACTATTGTACTCATGGAGGTAGGTGTCTCAGCGTTGTGTGGAAAACATTGATCACTGGACGGGAGTGTGGCATGCTCGAACGCAGTGAAACTATTGATACCAGTTAGCAGTGACTTTTACTTTCAAGTGCAACATATCAACGTGAATGCCGCCTCAGTACCGGAAACAATCAGTCGTTGTTTTAGCGAGTACAATTAGTGTTGTATTCGGTCATGTTCACCTTGCATCACACCACTCTGTTGACATCAACGTACTTGTAAAAGTACATGGAAGTGAATTGGCGAAGCACATTTTATGAGACAGTTGTTATGACGAAGGCAATTTGCCGAAACGTTGGAATAATAATTATTGTTAAATGAATTGAACTATTGCAGTGTTCATGGACGAGAGCGTGTGGGCTCTACTCTTGACTGTTTATAAAACTGCAGGAAGCCTCTCCACTTTTACTTTTTTTCAGTTGTTATATGAATGCAATGAGCATACATCTAGATCAGTGCATGACCAAACACTTGTTTCAGTTTTCTACTCACTAGAATACCTCCCACTAATATTCCTTCTGACAGATGTTTCACGTACTAAAGGTCACAATTTATTGAAATAGATGTTGCCATGGTTACTTGTGTACTCTGTGCTTTTCAGCCGGCCGCAGCGGGGTCCGGGATCCCAGAGGTGATTGGCTTCCTGAACGGATCAGCGCCGGCGCGATTGATGAGCTGGACGACGATGGTGGGCAAGGTCATCGGTGTTATCTGTGCTGTTGGCGCTGGTCTCTGTGTGGGACCGGAGGGTGAGTCTAACTGTGATGACGATGTCCGCAGTTATTGTGTCACAGTGTTAATTTGGTGGCAGTGGTGAGGCTTCCTGCAGCTTCATTCATAGGAAGAGGTTTCTGAGCAGACTCGCTCTTTGCCATTCACTTTGCGACAATATCGAACTCGTTTATCAATCAATTATCACGCGGAGGATACACCCAGCGTACTGACAGTGCTCAATACCGCAGAGGCAGAGCGTAATACACACCAACAAGGGCAATCTCGATCAATTTTTACAACGTTTCGGCGAAATTGCCCTCGTCAGGTATGCAATGGTATGCAAGTTTGCGAAGGAGGAGCTACATTAAGTGTTAGTTGCTGGAGTAGAGGTCTTGCCCTGCAACCTCCACTCTAATGGTAGACTTGTCACTACAATAGGCACGACCCAAGACGTTAGAAGGTTGATCCAGAAGCCTTATTCCGTAGGGCCCAGCAGCAAGTATGAACAAGCAGGAAAACAGTTTCAAATGTTTGTGGTGAAATTTGCGAAGAGAATTGGGTTGAAAATCCAGATTTTAACACTGCTGCCTGTGCTTTCAGGTCCAACTATCCACATTGGAGCTCTTCTCGGAGTTGGGTAAGGAATACTCTGATTTGTGCACGTTGTATTCTTCTCTTGCACCTTAGCCCTGCAGGGGATGGTCAAGGCAATGTAAGCCGAGATGTTCAAAGCTGAGAAATCTGGAAACTTCCGCACTGGAATATGAATGTGCACAATTCCGACTGCAAATTTCTCTGTTCAATTGTCCCCGTACTTGTACATTTCTGAGTAGCATCTTTTAATTCCCGTGGCTATGCAGAAGACGTTACTTCAGTAACGTCTGGCGCTAGCCAGGGTCCACACAGCTTTAATTTGGTATTTGTTTGTGTGTTTGTGTCACGCCTGGCGCTATCCGTATCTGACGGCAAAAAAGCATAGGATTTTTTTTCAGGCATATCCTGGGATTCGAACCCGCACTATCGCCCTACATGCATTCCCCCATACACTTCGCATTCATACCCATTCTTCCAAGTTGCTTCACGTTATTAGCTTGCGTTTGAAAGCCCTATTTGAATATTGCGGGCAGCTAGACGGTGTCGTATTACCCTCGATCGTACCTGTCCCGTACCTATCCCCTACCCTACCGTGCCATCAAAGACGGCTGGCCACAATGCATATTCAAATAGGGCTTTCAAATGCAAGATCACAATGTGAAACAACTTGGAAGAATTAGTTTGTATGCGAAGTGTATAGGGGGATGCATGCAGGGCGCGCGATAGTGCGGGTTCGAATCCTAGGTTAAAAAAAAGGATTTTTTTAAAGAATTTATAACAACCCTATGCTTTTTTTTGTCTAGGTCATCAAGGCAAAACAGCATAGCGTAGGGCCCTGAGCTTCCAAGCTCTCTCGTTTGCATCAGCTGCAATACATAGAACTTATGTGTGCACCTATGTTCTGATTCCAATGATGCCCTGCTTGCTGTGTTTTTCTTCCAGCATCCTGAACTTCTGCATTTTCATCCTGGATCGATTCAAGAAGGACCATTTCCTGAAGTCGCTGAGAAACGACGTCGACGAGAGAGGCTTTGTGTCATGGTAGGTTCACAGCCATACGCGCATTCCAGTGATACCACCATGTAAGGAACAAATTGGAAGCTTTCCCAATTACACCAGTAGAAAATTCATGCATCCAAATGCCGTTCACCCCAGTCTAGAAGAACGAGACGAACATTTTCTGAACCAAACAATTTTGTTCCTTTCTCAGCATAGGTTCTTACGGGGAATAAAGCAAAACACCATTAATTTTTATGCTGTTGAACTTTCCAAGCCCAGCTCATTGCACTTCCCAATTTCAACATTTTTTACATGCTCTGCCTTTAAACTCAATCCCAATCCCTTTCTCTGTCTCCGAGCTCCTCACTCAAAAATATTGCTATAAACTGTGACCATGTGCCAAATCAATTGTGCTCTGAAAACCATACATGAAACATTCTCTTTTCTGTTCTCGTTGATCTTGAAGTGGTGCAGCCGCAGGCATCGCAGCCGCTTTCCACGCCCCGATTGGTGGTAAGTCAAGAAACTTCAACAGAGAACATTGAATAGTATCATTAATTAATCATTATTTGTTTCACCCATGCATTGAAGTAGATTTCCCGAGACACGCAGCACTGAAGTCATTATAGTTTCGACTGGGCTCCTCGTACCATTACTTTGCAATTCAATTCGAATGCAGGGGTGATTAAAGTTGCGGCAAGCAAGTCCTCAAATGCGCCCGTGACTTTGCTGGTCAGAGCAGTAGATTTACACAGATGACGATGCCTGATGTGTTTCACTGGCGTTGCCACTGTACAGAATTCACTGATCTGCACCATTAGAAAAAGCTATTGTTTCCATGCTCCGGCAAGCTTCCTATCGGGCCATTCTCATGTTCTTCAAGCCAGTTTCTTTAAATCCCCTAATGGGACGGTTAGCCAATATGTGAGGTCCTGTGAAATCGCTTTTTCTGATATTAACTGTCCACCAAAAAGCTCTCCGTTTACGAGTAGTTATTTGTGTCTTATAAAAACCCAGATGGTGGTGTATTCTCTGATGTGTGCTCCCGTGCAGGTGTCCTGTTCTGTCTGGAAGAGGCCATCTCATTTTTCACCAGCAAGATGATCTCCCGCGTGTACTTGGTGAGTTGGGTTCTGGAATGCTGTCAGCATTTCTCACTGCTTGTTCAGCCCCTGAAGCGTCCTGATCCTAGAGGATGATGGCATGCCTGATGATGCAGAAAACTATCTGAGTCTCAGACGAAGCAGGACATTTTAGTATATTTTGCCTTACACAGTTACCGCATCATTTGAGTGGCCATCGTGAGAACGAAGACTGATCATGATAGTAATCTTGGATCTAGTACGGTGATCACACGGGGTAGTCCCGAACTCCAGATGGTTTTGGAGAGGCTCAGAGTGGGTAATTCCTACCAGTGGCACTGGTAGGAATTACACCTTGTGCCTTTAAACACTTCAGGAAAGCTATACAAATTAAGAAAGCTATAAAATTTAGAAACTAGGGGACTTCTATTCCCATGCATACTCTGCGCATATACTGGATGCAATTTTGGTCGACCTCCTGTATGCCGTTGATAACCTCTTACAACTCCTCGGTGAGTTTGTTGTGTTCCCTTTCAGACTAGGTGGTTGTATGGGGTGGTGGTTGCATCGCCTCAATCCTCTCCTCGGAGGTTCCCATTGTAAACATGTATCAAGCTAGCCAGCGGAAGACCAGCATGCTCTAAACATGCTTCACTATGTTCTGTGCCGATTTGTGTGCGTGCGTTCTCGTGCGTGTGTGTGCGTTCCCATGCGTGTGCGTGGGTGCACATGCGTACACGTGTGTGTGTCTGTGTATGTGTGTTTGTG